AACTACCGCAAGAGCAATTTAACTTACACATCGCTTTCGTTCCCCTCTCTTCCCCCTCCTGTCTTTCGCGGAAACGAAGCCTAGAGGCAGGATCCTAGAAGGAGTGTAGAGTTCAAAGCGTTATCACGAGTGGAACGTCTTTTCATCATGTTTTAGAAACAAGCGTTCGCACTAATCCCCCAATAATCTCTCCAGGAGAACTCCAGCGATAAGGCGCGCCACCCAGGGCTTTCAAACACACTTTTGGGGAGTCTGTATCTCCCCCTCACTGCTCTGTCGTTCCATAGGAAGGACAAGTGAAGGTGAGCACCCTCTCAATCTCTCTCTTTCTCTCTCTCTAGCAGTGTTTGTTTACCTCTTGGTAAATCTCTCCAGTTGATCTGAAATGATCAACAGAGGACCGTCTACAGCACCCTACTGCACTCTACCCCCTCAAATTAGATCTTAATTAAAACAGTCGCTCCAGAAGACCCAAAATCTGTAATTTAGCACTTGTCACCCTCTTCATCGCTCCTGAATGTTTCTGATAATAAAGTGCACTGAACTATCTTGATTCTTGATGGCAGACTTGTTGAGAGCATTTCCATGTATGCTTTCATTGGCAACAAGGCCCTAAGGTTGTGCTACAGGCCTGAGAGTTCACATAGAGCCCACAGGAGGACCAGGGAAACTTGATACTAAACCCATCATCAGCCACTTCCTCACCAATCTAAATAATCTCTGTCTTTTCCTATGTCTTCCTGCCTCTGACAGACTCTGAGACGTTGTGCAATAGTGAGAGGTAGGGACCAGGTGACCAAAGAAGTGGACTGAGTAGAGGCAAATGGAGAGGCAAAGGGGAGAAAGAGAAATGATAGGAATGAGCATTGGCAAAAGCCAGCAAAGGAAGAAGGCAATGCCAGAGAGGAAGAGAGAGGGAATGGAAAGAGGTGGGAATGGGGAGATGGAGTTGATGGGGAGGGGTGCTCATTCTCATCACTCAGTCCCTGTGACTGGGCTGGTATCTGCATCTCGCTGTCATCTGCGCTGGCTTCTGCGGGGTGGAGAGTGGAGGAGAGAGGAGAGAGGGAAAACCTTCCTCTATCTCTGAGGCTTATCTCCGGCAGTTCAGGAGCCCGCTTTCCAAGAGTGCCTCATTTTCAAATCTCTTATCTCGCCCGTTTTAAGTATCGCAAGTTTGATATTTTTACATGTCATTTGCATGCAGCTCATCAACCTTTTCTTGGAGGTGTCTGTAGATATGTGTGGCTGGGCATGAGCGGTGTGTGTTTTTCTATGTTAGCTTGTTGTGTATGATTCGTTTTTTTAGTACACTAAGCGCATGTATTAATACGCACGTGTATTTGTGTTAGAGAAATGTAGTGTGTATGTATGTGTGGTGTGTGTGTGTGTGTGTTCGTACCCGTGTGTGTGTTAATTAGTGTGTGTGTTGAGAGAGAGAGAGAGTGTGTGTGAGAGGTGGATGAGAGTAGGTTTCTGATGTTTATCTTCCTTCCTTTTCTTCTCTGTATTTTTGGAGGATTCACAGTGACCTCTTTGTTTGGGACAGTGAGTACCCCCTCCATTCCCCCCTTTCGGGAAATAAAACATTTCCTGTAGGGGAGAGATTGAGAGAGAAGGGCAGACAGAGGGGTAGGAATGAGAAAAGGAGGGAGGGACAGGAATGGGAAAGAAAGAGGGATGAGAGAGAGCTTGATTAGCCATACAATACTGTAGAGAGGGAGGGGTGGGAGAGAGCTTGATTAGCCATACAGTACTGTAGAGAGGGAGGGGTGGGAGAGGGCTTGATTAGCCATACAGTACTGTAGAGAGGGAGGGGTGGGAGAGGGCTTGATTAGCCCATACAGTACTGGTAGATAGGGAGGGGGTGGGAGGAGGGGCGTTGATTGAGCCAATACAGTACTGTAGAGAGGGGAGGGGTGGGAGAGGGATTGATTAAGCCCATACCAGTTACTGTAGAGAGGGAGGGTGGGAGAGGGCTTGATTGCCTACAGTAACTGAATAGATAGGGAGGTGGTTGGAGAGGGCTTGATTAGCATACAGTACTGTAGAGAGGAGGAGTGATAGCCATACAGACTGTGAAGAGGGGTGGGAGAGGGCTTGATTAGCCATACAGTACTGTAGAGAGGGAGGGGTGGGAGAGGGCTTGATTAGCCATACAGTACTGTAGAGAGGGAGGGGTGGGAGAGGCCTTGATTAGCCATACAGTACTGTAGAGAGGGAGGGGTGGGAGAGGGCTTGATTAGCCATACAGTACTGTAGAGAGGGAGGGGTGGGAGGGCTGATTAGCCATACAGGCTTGAGTGGAGAGGGCTTATTAGCCATACAGTACTGTAGAGAGGGAGGGGTGGGAGAGAGCTTGATTAGCCCATACAGTACTTGTCTATACTGAGGAGGGAGGGTGGGAGAGAGCTTGATTAGCCATACACTTAGTCTGTCATCAGACTGTAGGAGGTGGGTTGATAGGGAGGGGTGGGAGAGGGCTTGATTAGCCATACAGTACTGTAGAGAGGGAGGGGTGGGAAGATTAAGAGGTAAATGGGAGGATGGGGCGAAAGAGAGCGAGAGTACGTGAGGGAGAAAGAGTATGAATGAGGACCAAGCCAGCCCCAATGGTCAAGAGACCTATGGTGGAACTCAGTGGAAGTCAGTTGAACAGGCCAGGAAAGGAGAGACACTATTCTACCTTCCTGTTCTTTTCCTCTCTGTCTGTCCAGCTGTTTCTGCTTCATACAGTACATTCAAGCACCCTTGGATGACATCATTATCCAGGATGCACATATTGAAATAGAAGATTGACCAATCAATCCATTGGGTTTCTCTGTTTCTCATGGGTCCACAGAGAACAGTATTCTAAAATTGCTTTAATCACCAGGGAATATTAAGCAAATTATGGTAGCAATGATGTGTATGTAAACCGTGAAAATCTACGTAGTACATATACTACTCTAAAGAGTTGATAGTGGTATGAAGGCTTAATCTACTGGAGGATGGGGGAGGCATTTTATTATTTCCTCTGCTTTAATTGAACCATATATAAAGCTGAATTGATCTGAGTCGAGGTTAGACTTGGGGTTAGTTCATGGAAAGGTTCATTTCCACCTCCCAGAGGAGAGCGTCTGGGGAGAGAGAAAATTATATTTTCATTTTATACTCAGCAACGACCAGGCTACGGAATGAACGAATAGAGAAATGAAATCAGCCGAGCATCATTTGCATTCAAGTTTTATCGGCGTGAGAGGAGGGCGTTTTTAGGAGTGATAAGGAGAGGGTGTCGCAGGCTGCACTGGAGGTGGGGGGGGTGAGGTGCATGCGCACTAAGGCTTTGTGTGTGTGTGTGTTGAAGGTGGATATAGTGAGGCTGGATGGTGTATGTGTGTGTGTGTGGGGGGGGGGGGGTTAATATCAGACCAAATAATTAGATTCGCTATCGTCTCGGCGGCAGCAGTGCGGGGATCAGGCAGATTAAAGCCCGGCTGGGCTGATTAATATTCATGAGGGACGAGGGTCCGGACGAGGGGGCTTAGGCTGCGCCTCAAAGACTCCCTCACTGAGGGGCTTATAGCACTCTCAAAGAGCCTGGGTCCTAGGGAGACCGCCAGGGTGAACGCAGGCAGTGCTGAGTAACATTAACTTCTCCTGTTAGTCTTTTAGTTCTCCTCCTGCTCCCCCTCCCTCGCTCTCTCCCTGTTTCAATCAGTGGGGCTGGTCACTACGAATTGTGGGATAGTTTAGTGCAGTAGTGGTGGAGTGTGCTGCCTAGCAGGTGGATGTGTGTGTTCAGAGGTAGGAACTTGCCATTTGATTATGTTTAATTTGATACTGTGATTGTTGAAAATGTCCTCCAGGCCAGAGAGATGTGATACTAGAGGCTTCTCTGCTCCTCTTAACTCAACCATCTTTAGTGGCCATAGTCTCTGTTGGCTTTGTTAATTACACATCCTAATCAAACTGCTATCTTGCCCCATGCCTTTTAGTTTTCTTCTATCTGTGTTGGTTCCAGACAGCATTTCAAGTCCCAGTTCCGACCAGGGCCCAAAGCCTGATCAGAGCCAGCTAAATCATCATCTCCACATCATCTTCGCTCTGGTCATTTCTGAGAATATCTCAGAGAGAGATAGAGGTAGATAAAGAGGCTTGGATAGAGATTATTATTATTATTATTTTTGTGCATTTGTTCATACTGTCCAAAGACCCTCTTGACTGTTGTATGGCTCTATTTTTCTGTCTCATACAGTGGAGTTGTGTTAATTTCCTCCAAAGTCGGACCACACTGGCCTTTTCTCCAGTGAATACCAAAGCATCATGATAGATAGATTTGTGATAAATTAGTCTGAAACAAATTAGCAGCACTTATAGCTCAGACGGCTCCAGCATTGGGTTACAAATTAAAACAAAATAAGCCGTATCTCTACATCAGCGCAAGTTCCCCATGAAATACAATACGCAGCGTCTTCAGGCTAGAACAGACTGAGTCAGAAATCAACTATTCCACTGTCCTCCCTCGCCTCCCAACTTGCCCCATACAGTATATACTCCCAGTTCCTTTACACAAAAACGTATCCCCCATATTCTCTCTAAATGTTCCAGTCAATGTGGTACCATGTTGGAATATGTGTACCCCTGTAGCAAGCAGATTGACTGACTGACTGACTGGCCGTAGTTCTCCTGAAGCAGTCTGTCAGGGCAGCTGCTGCTGAATGACTGCTTCCACCTAGTGGAGCCAGTGTTCTGTATGTCCTCAGTATTAGAGCCTATTGGCCTTGTGCAACTAGACTGGAGTTGTGAAGCTCAACCTAATGCTACTGTGTTTTATTACATACTCACATAAATGTATCATTGAACCTCACAAAGACTATGTTTTGCTAGGACTGCTATAAGTTATTTGATTATGAATGCACAATGCTTAACTGTGCCATAACACACAGAAGTACGTAGATGCGTGTGGGTGTGTTTCTCATGCAGACACACGATGTCTGTGGGAGTGATTGTCAGGTGGAATGCTTTGTGAGCCTCAGCTGAACAAAGACAAGATTGTGCAGAGGATGGCACAGGTGTGTGTTTCTCTCTGGTCTGCCCTACTCTGGCTACAGCCTCACTTACACATGTGCTGCCACTGACACACATTCTTCAACACACACACCGCTAGATTATGACCTCCCTGTACTCACACATCTTTTGTCCCATCGTGTATTGAGAGAAGTTCCTGAGAGGGCGTCCGGGTGAATAGGAGCACTACGACCTCATCGGATCTCCTTTCTTACCATTTCTTCTCCTTTCTCTGCTATTTATAGCTAATTTCTGTGAGTCTTTGTTCAGCCCGTGCCCCTTCCTTTCTCTCTATGCTTCTGATTGGCCATGTTAAGGGGCTTCCCCTTCCTACTGAAAAAGATGAGTCCCTTTATTGTACACTATGTTCAATGTGCTTTAAAACAGTCAATTCAGAGGACATTGTCAGGATTAATTCATTGTTAAACCTCACTGTTCAGTACAGTAGGTCTTTGCCATCAAATGTAAAGAGTATGTATATAAATGAATATAAAATAGGTTTGTCAGAATAGACTTGGCAATGTGTGTGAGAATCAGAGGATACGTGATGTTAGACTTATGATAATTGTCATTTGCTGCACCTTATTCTGTTTTGAAAACGTGACCCTGTGTTTCCAGAGCAAGTCTGACAGCCTCTGTATGTTTATTTGTGTGTCAGCAGATCTCCAGGCTGACTCTGGTGTGTGAGGACGCAGACTGCTGGCTTAGTAGACTCCCGCTAACCTCCGATGCCACAGCTGCCAACTGTACCATCTACAGTCAAGGTAGTTAACCAACAGACCTGATCCCAGAAATGCCAAACCATCAACACAGCCCACATACATATAATGCACCATTTACATTGTTACATTCTAGTCATTTAGCAGACACTCTTATCCAGAGCAACTTACAATCAGAGATCTCTTATCAGAGTGACCCCATAAAGACACCATACAGAGATCTTTTTGACTGACTATAGATTACTATGCATTCCATAGATACCATACTGTACGATACCATCTGTGTAGTTCTAGTACATGCCCCAGGTGTGATCTGTGTAGTTCTAGTACATGCCCCAGGTGTCATGTGTGTTGTGCGGCTCTCTCTCTCTTTTCTCCAGGTGAGGAGCTGTATTGTAAGGTGACCCAGGACATCTCCACAGGTGACTGTCTGTTGGCCACACTGTCTCTCTCCTCCATGGAGCAGCTGTCCCCATCTCAGACCCAGGATGTAGTGGTGAAGGAGGAGCCTACAGGTGTCTACCCAGCTTCCCTCCACTCTGAGATACAGCTCCTCCCCCAGCAGGCTGGGATGGCAGCCATCTTGGCCACGGCAATTGTCAACAGTGAGTGTCAGCTTGTCAGATTGTTTAGGATAATGTGTGTGTGTGTGTGTGTGTGTGTGTGTGTGTGTGCGCACTGCACGCAAATGTGCATGTACGTATTTGTGTTCTTAGTGTCGTTTAGTCATTAGATGCATAGACAAACCCTACACATGTACAGTTATATACTTTCCATGTAAACAACAGATACTGAGGGACTCAAAATGAAGAGCAACAGTTCACCATGCCACATTTCCTCATTCACCCAGTACACCGCAAGGAGGCAGTGTAACTCCTCTGCACTGCCTTGTCTCAGAGGTAGACTGCAACGGAATTGCTTTCACGGTCCTTCATTAAGTCACCCTATTGGCAGTGTAGTGTTGTCGGCAGCAGGAGCAGGCATGGACATGCTGTGATGAGTGCATGATTAATCACCATGTCAAGCTAAAGGGTAAAACATGATCATCCGTATCCCCGGTTCCTGCTGTAGGATCACTCTCCTGAGGACTGTTGGTAATTATGGATGTTATCAAAAATAGCCTGTAACACCAGCCCTGACACCAGATCAGTATGATTACCCCGCGCGTGCGGGCGCTCGCTCCCACAACCTCTGTGCTCTCGTTGCCTTGGAGACCCCGGAACAATATTGAGTGCTTGCTCGTTCCGCCACTGAATCGATCATGTGACTGGTGTGAAACAGGTGTGTATGGTGATGTGTAAACACATGGATGAACATCATGTGTACATGAAAGTGTCTGTGCTGTATGTAACATTTTAATGTGTAAGCAGTTAAACTTTAAACATGTATTTTTTAAAAGAATGAACATACACTGCTCTCTTTCTTGCATTGTTTATAATTATGTATGACAAATTTGATAAGTGATTGGTTGTTGTAGGGATAGAGTTAACAGTTGTGTTTGTGTTTGATTGGTCCAGAGGACATCTTCCCGTGTAAGGACTGTGGGATCTGGTACCGCAGTGAGAGGAACCTCCAGGCCCACCTCATGTACTACTGTGCCAGCCGGCAGAAGCAGCAGGCCTCCTCCTCCCCCCCACAGGACAAAGCCAAGGAGTCCTACCCCAATGAACGTGTCTGCCCCTTCCCACAATGCAACAAGAGCTGCCCCAGTGCCAGCTCCCTGGAGATCCACATGCGGACACACAGTGGTGAGACCTGTCACAATACATTCCTTTAGATCTTTCTCATAGCAGACCAAGGATCGAGTGAGAATATGCGTGAATATTCCTATTTTAATAGTGGCTTATAACATACCTCTTTCTTTGGGGGTTATTAGGGTAAGCCAGTCAATTTTATTGTGTTGAAATGTTAAAGATATACCTGTATGCGTGTCCTGTGCCTATAGGTGAGCGTCCTTTCGTGTGTCTGATCTGCCTGTCAGCCTTCACCACTAAAGCCAACTGTGAGCGTCACCTGAAAGTGCACACGGACACGCAGAATGGAGTCTGTCACGGCTGTGGCTTCGTCTCCACCACGAGGGACATCCTCTACAGCCACCTGGTCACCAGTCACATGGTGTGTCAGCCCGGCTCATGCAGTGAAGTGTACTCCCCCGGCCCCGGCCTGCCCAAACTGCCTCTGTCCACAGGTAAACACACAGACAGACTGAATAATGTTGTTTACTATCCCAGTGAGAGGATCATAGCCCTGCCTCTACTTCAGAACAGCAACTATGTACAGATACCATGTCTTCTAGGATTATATAAACTTCCCTATGTATTTATTTGGACAGTGAAGTTAAAACTTTTAATTTGGCTCTATACTCCCGAATTTTGGATTTGAGATCAAATGTTTTATATGAGGCGACAGTACAGAATGGCACTTTATATTTGAGGGTATTTTCATACATATCTGTTTTACCATTTAGAAATGAAAGAACTTTATGTATCTAGTCTCCCCATCTGAAGGTGTTAAAAGTATTTGGACAAATTCACTTATAGTGTATTACATTTAGTCAAAAGTGTAGTATTTGGTCCCATATTCCTAGCACTCAAGGACTACATAAAGCTTGTGACTCTACAAACTTGTTGGATGTGTTTGCAGGTTGTTTTGGTTGTGTTTTTGATTATTTTGTGCCCAATAGAAATGAATGGTAAATAATGTTATAGAATACGTTTCTGAACGCTTTTACATTCATGTGGATGCTACTATGATTGTGGATAATCATAAATAAATTGTGAATAAAGAGGATTGAGAAAGTTACAGATGCACAAAGCTCATACCCCCCAAAAAATGCTAACCTCCCCCGTTATTGGTAACGGTGAGAGGTTAGCATGTTTTTGGGTAATGATATTTGTGCATCTGTAACTTTGTCATTCATCACTCTTCATGTTTCATTCATGATTTTCTGTAATCATGGTAGCATCCACATTAATGTATTCTATTCTATATACAGTACCAGACAAAAGTTTGGACACACCTACTCATTCCAGGGTTTTTCTTTATTTTTACTATTTTCTACATTGTAGAATAATAGTGAAAACATCAAAACTATGAAATAACACATGGAATCATGTAGTAACCAGAAAAGTGTGAAACAAATCAAAATATAGTTTATATTTGAGATTCTTCAAATGGCCACCCTTTGCCTTGATGACAGCTTTGCACACTCTTGGCATTCTCTCAACCAGCTTGATGAGGTAGTCACCTGGAATGCATTTCAATTAACAGGTGTGCCTTCTTAAAAGTTAATTTGTGGAATTTATGTCCTTCTTAATGCGTTTGAGCCAATCAGTTGTGTTGTGACAAGGTAGGGGGGGTATACAGAAGATAGCCCTATTTGGTAAAAGACCAAATCCATATTATGGCAAGAACAGCTCAAATAAGCAAAGAGAAACGACAGTCCATCATTACGTTAAGACATGAAGGTCAGTCAATACAGAACATTTCAAGAACTTTGAAAGTTTCTTCAAGTGCAGTCGCAAAAACCATCACCCGCTATGATGAAACTGGCTCTCATGAGGACTGCCACAGGAATGGAAGACCCAGAGTTACCTCTGCTGCAGAAGATAAGTTCATTAGAGTTACCAGCCTCAGAAATGGCAGCCCAATTAAATGCTTCACAGAGTTCAAGTCACAGACACATCTCAACATCAACTGTTCAGAGGGGACTGTGTGAATCAGGCCTTCATGGTCGAATTGCTGCAAAGAAACCACTACTAAAGGACACCAATAAGAAGAAGAGACTTGCTTGGGCCAAGAAACACGAGCAATGGACATTAGACCGGTGGAAGTTTGTCCTTTGGTCTGGAGTCCAAATGGGAGATTTTTGGTTCCAACCGCTGTGTCTTTGTGAGACGTGGTGTGGGTGAATGGATGATCTCTGCATGTGTATTTTCCCACCGTAAAGCATGGAGGAGGAGGTGTTATGGTGTGGGGGTGCATTGCTAGTAACATTGTCTGTGATTTATTTAGAATTCAAGGCACACTTAACCAGCATGGCTACCACAGCATTCTTCAGTGATACGCCATCCCATCTGGTTTGGGCTTAGTGGGACTATCATTTGTTTTTCAACAGGACAATGACACAAATACACAACACACCTCTAGGCTGTATAAGGGCTATTTTACCAAGAAGGAGAGTGATGGAATGCTGCATCAGATGACCTGGCCTCCACAATCCCCCGACCTCAACCCAATTGAGATGGTTTGGGATGAGTTTGATGGCAGAGTGAAGGAAAAGCAGCCAACAAGTGCTTAGCATATGTGGGAACTCGTTCAAGACTGTTGAAAAAGCATTCCAGGTGAAGCTGGTTGAGAGAATGCCAAGCGTGTGCAAAGCTGTCATTAGGCAAAGGGTGGCAATTTGAAGAATCTCAAATATAAAATATATTTTGATTTGTTTAACACTTTTTTGGTTACTACATGATTCCATATGTGTTATTTCATAGTTTTGATGTCTTCACTATTATTCTACAATGTAGAAAATAGTAAAAATAAAGAAAAACCCTTGAATGAGTAGGTGTGTCCAAAATGTTGACTGGTACTGTATGTGTGTGTATATATATATATATATATATATATATATATATATATATATACACACACACACACAGCTGTATTCTTATTCTTGTGGTCCTGTATGGCTCATTTGGTAGAGCGTGGCGATTGCATCACCAGGGTTGTGGGTTCGATTCCCAGGGCCACCCATATGTAAAATGTACAGTTGAAGTCGGAAGTTTACATACACTTAGGTTGGAGTCATTAAAACTTGTTTTTCAACCACTCCACAAATTTCTTGTTAACAAACTATAGCTTTGGCAAGTTGGTTAGGACATATACTTTGTGCATGACACAAGTCATTTTTCCAACAATTGTTTACAGACAGATTATTTCACTTATAATTCACTGTATCACAATTCCAGTGAGTCAGAAGTTTACATACACTAACTTGACGGTGCCTTTAAACGGCTTGGAAAATTCCAGAAAATGATGTCATGGCTTTAGAAGCTTCTGATAGGCTAATTGACATCATTTGAGTCAATTGGAGGTGTACTTGTGGATGTATTTCAAGGCCTACCTTCAAACTCAGTGCCTCTTTGCTTGACATCATGGGAAAATCAAAAGAAATCAGCCAAGAACTCAGAAAAGAAATTGTAGACCTCCACAAGTCTGGTTCATCCTTGGGAGCAATTTCCAAACGCCTGAAGGTACCACGTTTTTTTAAATTTATTTTTTATTTCACCTTTATTTAACCAGGTAAACCAGTTGAGAACAAGTTCTCATTTACAACTGCGACCTGGCCAAGATAAAGCAAAGCAGTGCGATAAAAACAACAACACAGAGTTGCATATGGGGTAAAACAAAACAAAGTCAAAAATACAACAGAAATACATATATATACAGTGTGTGCAAATGTAGCAAGTTATGGAGGTAAGGCAATAAATAGGCTATAGTGCAAAATAATTACAATTAGTATTAACACTGGAATGATAGATGTGCAAGAGATGATGTGCAAATAGAGATACTGGGGTACAAATGAGCAAAATAAATAACAATATAGGGATGAGGTAGTTGGGCGGGCTAATTTCAGATGGGCTGTGTACAGGTGCAGTGATCGGTAAGGTGCTCTGACAACTGATGCTTAAAGTTAGTGAGGGAGATAAGTGTCTCCAGCTTCAGAGATTTTTGCAATTTGTTCCAGTCATTGGCAGCAGAGAACTGGAAGGAATTGCGGCCAAAGGAGGTGTTGGCTTTGGGGATGACCAGTGAGATATACCTGCTGGAGCGCAGACTACGGGTGGGTGTTGCTATGGTGACCAATGAGCTAAGATAAGGCGGGGATTTGCCTAGCAGTGATTTATAGATGGCCTGGAGCCAGTGGGTTTGGCGACGAATATGTAGTGAGGACCAGCCAACAAGAGCGTACAGGTCACAGTGGTGGGTATTATATGGGGCTTTGGAGACAAAACGGATGGCACTGTGATAGACTACATCCAATTTGCTGAGTAGAGTGTTGGAGGCTATTTTGTAAATGACATCGCCGAAGTCAAGGATCGGTAGGATAGTCAGTTTTACGAGGGCATGTTTGGCAGCATGAGTGAAGGAGGCTTTGTTGCGAAATAGGAAACCGATTCTAGATTTAACTTTGGATTGGAGATTCTTAATGTGAGTCTGGAAGGAGAGTTTACAGTCTAACCAGACACCTAGATATTTGTAGTTGTCCACATACTCTAGGTCAGACCCGTCGAGAGTAGTGATTCTAGTCGGGTGGGCGGGTGCAAGCAGCGTTCGGTTGAAGAGCATGCATTTAGTTTTACTAGTGTTTAAGAGCAGTTGGAGGCTACTGAAGGAGTGTTGTATGGCATTGAAGCTCGTTTGGAGGTTTGTTAACACAGTGTCCAATGAAGGGCCAGATGTATACAAAATGGTGTCGTCTGCGTAGAGGTGGATCTGAGAGTCACCAGCAGCAAGAGCGACGTCATTGATATCCACAGAGAAAAGAGTCGGCCCAAGAATTGAACCATGTGGCACCCCCATAGAGACTGCCATAGGTCCAGACAACAGGCCCTCCGATTTGACACATTGAACTCTATCTGAGAAGTAGTTGGTGAACCAGGCGAGGCAGTCATTTGAGAAACCAAGGCTATTTAGTCTGCCAATAAGTTAATCTATACAAACAATAGTACGCAAGTATAAACACCATGGGACACCATGGGACCACGCAGCCATCATACCGCTCAGGAAGGAGACGCGTTCTGTCTCCTAGAGATGAACGTACTTTGGTGCGAAAAGTGCAAATCAATCCCAGAACAACAGCAAAGGACCTTGTGAAGATGCTGGAGAAAACAGGTACAAAGTATCTATATCCACAGTAAAACGAGTCCTATATTGACATAACCTGAAAGGCCGCTCAGCAAGGAAGAAGCCACTGCTCCAAAACCGCCATAAAAAAAGCCAGACTACGGTTTGCAACTGCACATGGGGACAAAGATCGTACTTTTTGGAGAAATGTCCTCTGGTCTGATGAAACAAAAATAGAACTGTTTGGCCATAATGACCATCGTTATGTTTGGAGGAAAAAGGGGGATGCTTGCAAGCCGAAGAACACATTTACATTTTTTTTACATTTTAGTCATTTAGCAGACACTCTTATCCAGAGCGACTTACAGTTAGTGAGTGCATACATTTTTTCATACCATCCCAACCGTGAAGCACGGGGGTGGCAGCATCAAGCTGTGGGGGTGCTTTGCTGCAGGAGGGAGTGGTGCACTTCACAAAATAGATGGCATCATGAGGAAGGAAAATGATGTGGATATATTGAAGCAACATCTCAAGACATCAGTCAGGAAGTTAAAGCTTGGTCGCAAATGGCTCTTCCAAATGGACAATGACCCCAAGCATACTTCCAAAGTTGTGGCAAAATGGCTTAAGGACAACAAAGTCAAGGTATTGGAGTGGCCATCACAAAGCCCTGACCTCAATCCTATAGAACATTTGTGGGCAGAACTGAAAAAGTGTGTGCGAGCAAGGAGGCCTCCAAACCTGACTCAGTTACACCAGCTCTGTCAGGAGGAATGGGCCAAAATTCACCCAACTTATTGTGGGAAGCTTGTGGAAGGCTACCCGAAACGTTTGACCCAAGTTAAACAATTTATAAAGGCAATGCTACCAAATACTAATTGAGTGTATGTAAACTTCTGACCCACTGGGAATGTGATGAAAGAAACAAAAGCTGAAATAAATCATTCTCTCTACTATTATTCTGACATTTCACATTCTTAAAATAAAGTGGTGATCCTAACTGACCTAAGACAGGGAATTTGTACTAGGATTAAATGTCAGGAATTGTGAAAAACTGAGTTTAAATGTATTTGGCTAAGGTGTATGTAAACTTCAGACTTCAACTGTATGCACGCTTTGGATAAAAGCGTCTGCTAAATGGCATATATCATTATTATTATTATTAAATTACATCCAACACGTTTGTTGACTCACAAGCTTGATGTTGTCATTGAGTGCTAGGAATATGGAACCAAATACTACACTTTTGACTAAATGTAATGCACTATCAGTGAATTTGTCCAAATACTTATAACACCGTCAGATGGGGAGACTAAATACATAAAGTGCATTCATTTCTAAAAGTGAAACAGATATGTATGAAAATACCCTCAAATAAAAGGTGACTTTCTGTACTCCCGCCTCATATAAAACATTTGATCTCAAATCCAAAATGCTGGAGTATAGAGCCAAATTAAAAGTTGTAGCTTCACTGTCCAAATAAATACATTTGGGAGTGTATATGAAGATTCGGTCCTATTATGCATAACCACCAGTGATTTAATGTAATGTTTAATAGTAGGAAACACATTTCTAATAACATGTCTCTGTGTGTCTCTGTGGCAGGTCTAAGTCCTGGAGACTCCGGTGTTGTGTTGAAGTGTCAGGTATGTGGCCACATCACAGACTCACCTGCCCAGCTCCAGCAGCACGTTCGCACACACCTGGAGGTAAGGGTCCCGGCCGAGAGGAGCCCCACACCCCGCCAGAGCACCCCCTCCTCAGCCGACCACCCTGAGCACCATGACAGGGAGCCCCCCGCTTGCGTACCCCACCCTGACTCCTCCAGCCCTGGGGCCAATGGGAGCTCAGCCACCCCGCGAGGCTGCAGCCCACCTGACCTGCTCCCCACAGACATCAGGATCAAAGAGGAGCCGCGTTCGGACTCTGAGAACGAAGGGCAGGAGAAGGAGATGGAGGAGGAGGAGGAGCGGCAGGAGAAGAGCCGTGGACACAGAGGGACAGGCTCCTCTCAGACCTCCACCTCCCCTAGGAGTCCCTCTACTGTGGCCGTGAAGGCAGAGCCGACCAGCCCCACCCCTGGCTCCAGCCCTGCCCACCTGGGAGGAGCGGGCTCAGTGCTGCCTGGAGGAGCCGTGTTCTTACCCCAGTACATGTTCAGCCCAGAGGCAGCCATCCTGCCCCAGGCCTCAGAGATCCTGGCTAAGATGTCTGAGATGGTCCACAGCCGGCTAAAGCAGGGTCAGGTCCCCCCTGGGGCAGCGCCAGCCTTCTACCCCGCTGGCACTACAACTACTGTCCAGAAGAGGGCCACCTGCTTCGAATGTGACATCAACTTCAACAACATCAACAACTTCTATGTTCACAAGAGGCTGTACTGCTCCAGCAGGCACCAGCAGGGAGACGTGGCTGGCCCGGTGGAGGGGGCGTTGGGGTCCACAGTTCCCTCTGTTGGACACGGTTCATCCCCACAGGCTGGATCAGGTAGTCGGGCTGCCTCAGCCTCCCCCAGTGACTCAGACCCTGTTCCAGGCAGCACCACCATGCAGGGCAAGCTGGTGGAGGTGAAAAGTGAGAACCCTGGGGTGAAGGAGGCTGTGTCCTCCTCTTCCTCTGAGGGGGAGGGTGTTGGAGGAGGAGGCCGGGCCAGCGAGGGCAGCCAGAGTCCCAGTGGCTCAGCAGAGGACCAGGAGGACGACCCCACCAAAACCTTCTGTCAGGCCTGCAACATTCACTTTAGCCGCCATGAGAACTACACAGTCCACAAACGCTTCTACTGCGCCTCGCGCCACGACCCATCCAACCAGCGGTCAAACGCCGGCAAAGCTACCTTCCTGCCTCAGCCCATCCGCACACGCAAGAGGAAGAAGATGTATGAGATCCACATGGCTCGGACTGAGGCCCTGGCCAACGCTGCTACTGCCTCTCTCTCTGCCCCTGGCCTGAGCCTGGCTGTGAAGCAGGAGGCTGCTGCCTTGGTGGGGAGGGCCCTGGAGGCCCCGGTCCCAGTCCTAGCCCTGGGCCTGCCTCCAGCCACCTCCCGTAGCACCAGCCCTGACAGAGACGGCCCAATTGACCTGAGCAAGAGGCCCCGTCTAAGGGAGGCCCCACGGGGCAGCAGCGTCCCTGCTCTGCCCCTCACTGACTACCACAAGTGCACCGCCTGCAGCATTAGCTTCAACAGCATTGAGAACTACCTGGCCCACAAGACCTACTACTGCCCAGCCACCACCCTGCAGCCCCACACTCTGGAGACGCTCCACAGGCTGAAGAGACCAGCATCCATCTCCCCCAAGAGCAGGGTCCTGGAGCGACCAGACCTCCACCCTGAGGCCAAAGGGCTGCCCACAGAGAAGGCTCCTCGGGGGGCCTCACCCAGCCCTCACCCCTCTGCCTTACCTGGCTCTGGCTCTGAGGCTACGTCACCTCACAGTGGCTCTGCAGCCAAAGGCCCAGGCTCTCCCTCTGTGGTCTGCCCCTACTGCCCTCCCAATAGGGCGGTGACCTGTGACCTGATGGAGCACTTCAGATCCATGCACGGCCTGGTCCTGAGCCTGGAGGGCCAGCCAGCCGTCATCAGCTCCAGCCCCAGCCTGAGCCCTAGAGATGGGACCCCTGCCACCCCGTCCAAGCTGGGCCTCCGAACCTGCAGGGACAGCATCAACGGCCGGATCAGAAAGGACACTGTCTCCCCCTCCTCTCCCCTGGTGAATGGTAGCCCCCTGGGCCACCATGCCGGGGGTGGCAGCTCCCCCAAGGCAGCAGCTCCAGCTGTGTCTCCCACCAGGTCCCTCCCCCTGACTGTGTCCCCTGTGCCTGAGGTCCTAAGGGAGGTGGGGGTTCTGAACCACCAGGTTGCTGTCACTCTGCTTCCAGACAAGGCAGCCCTCACCCTGGGTCTCCCACTCCCTGTTCCTGCCCCTCCCACACCCAAGACCCTCCTGATCCCCCCTGTGCAGAACGGTAACACCCGCTTCTGCCGGCTGTGCAATATAAAGTTCAGCAGCCTGTCCACGTTCATAGCCCACAAAAAGTACTACTGTTCCTCCCACAGCGCTGAGCACGTCAAGTGAACGGAGCCCCAGTCTGTGTCCCCTCCACGGCCCAGCCCCAGCTATCCACTCTTGTCAGTGCCACCACGGCATGGAACCATTTCTGGACCGTCTGTGTTTGAAAGTGTGACTGTTACTCGCCAGCCACTGGGTCGCTTCTTGCTCCCGGTATTGTTACTATGGTAACGTATTTCTCCTTATGGGTCAAAGTTTGTATTACACTAAGAGCTGAGATGCGCTACCTGCACACACGTGCCCACGTTCCCCTTCCCACCACCTCAATAACTGAAACCCAGCCCTCTCCCTCCCCTCTCACCTCCAGGGTCCACAGAATGTTGAAAATGTGACTTTAAAGCCAACATTTAATCTCCTGAGCAAGTTTAATTGAATTGTTTACATTACAGTCATCTTTATTTCATTATGATTGTTTGGAGCATTTCTTGCTCATGATGAAACTCTGGCTTTTCCTGAGCTGTTGATGCTCTAGATGAGTGGGGACAACAGGGCCCTCTAGTGGAGCTGACCATCTCCACCGTTTCATTTCTACTTACCTGTGCATAGTGTATGATGTTTTAAAATAATTCTATATGCTTTTGTTTGAACACTGGCTGTTTTGCTAACTAGAAAGCTAAAGCATTTTAGCTGAATTACAGAAATGGGTATCACATGGTTAGCCTACCAATTACAGATGAAATAGATTTGTTTTTCCTAAACCACAATTAAATGTTATCTTAATGGAAGGGAAAACGTGAAATATTTATCTTTGAGTCCTCACTGATTTAATGTCAACAGAAATCTACCTAGCGTCTGAAAATATTTGTATTTTTTATTTGTATATTTTTCATACTGTTCGAAGGAACTGTTTCAATCTTGGTGTGTAAAGGTGTTTTTGTAAGTGTAGATATGTAATATCTTTCACAGTAATCACTGGGATGAAACTGAACCTTATTTTTCTTATTGTCAGCATTTCTTTCTCCTGTTCTTTATTCATCGGGAAAGATTAGAAAAATACAGTTTTCTTCCTGTATTTGGTCATTAGCTACAGTGGCTTGCGAAAGTATTCTCCCCCCTTGGCATTTTTCCTATTGTGTTGCCTTACAACCTGGAATTAAAATTGATTTTTTGGGGGGTTTGTATCATTTGAATTACACAACATGCCTACCACTTTGAAGATGCAAAAAAAAAATTCTTGTGAAACAAACAAGAAATAAGAGAAGAAAAAAAAAGAACTTGAGCGTGCATAACTATTCCCCCTCCAAATTCAATACTTTGTAGAGCAATCTTTTGCAGCAATTGCAGCTGCAGGTCTCTTGGGGTATGTCTCTATAAGCTTGGCACATCTAGCCACTGGGATTTTTGCCCATTCTTCAAGGCAAAACTGCTCCAGCTCCTTCAAGTTGGATGGGTTCCGCTGGTGTACAGCAATCTTTAAGTCATACCACAGATTCTCAAGATGGATTGAGGTCTGGGCTTTGACTAGGCCATTCCAAGACATTTAAATGTTTCCCCTAAAACCACTTGAGTGTTTCTTTAGCAGTATGCTTAGGGTCACTGTCCTGCTGGAAGGTGAACCTCCATCCCGGTCTCAAATCTCTGGAAGACTGAAACAGGTTTCCCTCAAGAATTTGTATCTGTATTTAGCGCCATCCATCATTCCTTGAATTCTGACCAGTTTCCCAGTCCCTGCCGATGAAAAACATCCTCACAGCATGATGCTGCCACCACCATGCTTCACTGTGGGGATGATGTTCTCGGGGTGATGAGAGGTGTTGGGTTTGCCAGACATAGCGTTTTCCTTGATGGCCAAAAAGCTGAATTTTAGTCTCATCTGACCAGAGTACCTTCTTCCATATGTTTGGGGAGTCTCCCACATGGCTTTTGGCGAACACCAAACGTGTTTGCTTATTTTGTTATTCTGTAAAGCCCAGCTCTGTGGAGTGTACAGCTTAGAGTGGTCCTATGGACAGATACTGCAATCTCCGCTGTGGAGCTTTGCAGCCCCTTTAGGGTTATCTTTGGTCTCTTTGTTGCCTCTTTGATTAATGCCCTCCTTGACTGGTCCGTGAGTTTTGGGGGGCGGCCCTCTCTTGGCAAGTTTGTTGTGGTGCCATATTCTTTCCATTTTTTAATAATGGATTTAATGGTGCTCCGTGGGATGTTCAAATATATTTTTTTATAACCCAACCCTGATCTGTACTTCACCACAACTTTGTCCCTGACCTGTTTGGAGAGCTCCTTGGTCTTGTGCCGCTTGCTTGGTGGTGCCCCTTGCTTAGTGGTGTTGCAGACTCTGGGGCCTTTCAGAACAGGTGTATATATACTGAGATCATGTGACAGATCATGTGACACTTAGATTGCACACAGGTGGACTTTATTTAACTAATTATGTGACTTCTGAAGGTAATTGGTTACACCAGATCTTATTTAGGGGCTTCATAGCAAAGGGGGTGAATACATATGCACACACCACTTTTCCGTTATTGATTTTTTTATATTTTTTTGAAACAAGTTGTTTTTTTCATTTCACTTCACCAATTTGGACTATTTTGTGTATGTCCATTACATGAAGTTCAAATAAAAATCCATTTAAATTACAGGTTGTAATGCAACAAAATAGGAAAAACGCCAAGGGGGATGAATACTTTTGCAAGGCACTGTACAGCCTATTTTGCCAGATAAACGATTTGAAGTAAATTCTAATACTTGTATTATTATTGGGTAGAAGGAAGGTGATTGAACCTGAGTACCAGGATGAAGACACAGCACTTCCTCTATGCCCCCCCTCCCCCATCAGACCTGACCTTTAACCCACCAACCCCGTACTGTATCATTGCATCCACTACTCTGCAGCTGCTGATTTACCACCATCTGACTTATGTGATGCTTGAATTAGACATGGGATCCGTACAAATCTATGTGGATTCATTGACACCTCTTAGAGCAGTGGTATTCAAAGTCGGGGGAATTGCAGTGGGGTCACCATTTATTTAAATTTTTGGGGGAACAAAAAATTAAGAGTACAGGTTATTGTATGGGACAATATACAAACGTTTTTGAGAAAGATAATTAGAAAAAAAAAATTGTATTGAGTAAATGTATTTTATTGGTTTATTTTCATTTTGATAAGAGATGAAAATGCAATGAATTTAAGGTTGTTTGTTGATGTAAAAATACACATTTCCAGATTTTAAGGTTGTGTCATTAGATTTGGGGTGGGGTGGGATGGGGTCGCGAGAATTCTGGCGGAAAGAATTGGGACCTCGCTGAAAAAGTCTGAATACCACTGTCTTAGAGTGTGTGCTCGTTCTGTTGTGTTTTTCCAGTAATGAAGTAAAAAAACGGAAAAAAACAGGAGAAGGTGTAAGAGAGAGATAGGCAGGGAAAGCAGATGTATTTCACAGATTGTTGAGAGAGGCACACAGTAGATGGCTCCTAAAACTGTCATGTGTAAAACCCAAACACACATGCATCCCTGGTTTACAAAGTGGTGTTGAATAGACCTGCGAAATGCAATCGTTCCTCTGTCAGAACTGGCTATACTGGCACAGCCTTACCGTAGAGTCGAGTTGTTCTGTGCTTCACTATCCTCACCTCTCATGATGATCTGAATGGATCTGTATGTTACTTGTGATGTTCCCTTTCCTTCCCTGTGTTACACAGGCAGATGTTTCTCTGCTCTAAAAACTGGAAACAAAATGGCGGTGAAAATAAAGTTGAGTATTTTTGCTCTGTCGTGGTTTTAAACAGTGCTGTATTAGTCATATCTTACCCAAGAGTGTTTACAATGGCATTGCTTTCTCTTTTCTCAAAGCGATTAGCATTTTCAACAAGTCACAAATCGAGGAAATCAGTGCTGAAAACCATTTTGAATATCCCCTTTATATTGCACTGTGTTGTTCAAATGTGCTGAATGTTTTAGTTTTAGAGGCTTTTTTGTAATGTATTTATGTTTTTACAGCACTTTTCCTCGTCCAAACTAATCCCTTGAAGGACTTGCTGACCAATTTCAACCTTTTCACGTGAACAAAAATTAATTGAAAACAATTTGTGAATGATTACAAATGTCAATAATGGAAAAGTAATAATGAATGTCAGACTTTTCTTCTTTTTTTTTTCAGTTCCACTGCACACTTGTCCAAACTATGCATGGGAAATAAACGTCCTGAGAGACATTAAAGACTGTCAAACTTCTATCTTCTTTCACATTGACCTGGTCCACCCACAATTTAACTCTTCTCCTTTTGTCTCTCTTGGCTTTTGTAATGCTTGCCACAATAGATTTCAGGTCACACAAATCATTTCTCTTTTCATATTAATTATTGTGTGCATTTCTGTGAATATGTGAGCCTCAGAGAACTCAATGAATCATCTCCACAGTGCCAACATGCTTTTTCTCACGGAATGCTTTAATTATATTTCCCAAAGTCTCAAGGCTATGCCGATTTAGTACTAACGATGCATTCAGGCTTTACTGTTCTTCTTTTATAACCAACAGGATGGAGGTTGTGGATATTCTGAATTCTTTCATTACATTTGCCTCTCTACTTACCCATTTCCCACATAGTGCAGTGAGTTTGAAATGTGTTGAAATGGAACATTTGCACCCAAAATATTTTTTTACTCTAAATTATGGAAAAATAACATTAACATCCCGAGTAGCATCCATATAATTTTTCAGAAAGCTTGTCGATTCCTGGGATCAGGAGTACTACAGTCAGTATTGATGGCCAATCAGCAAAAAGCTACTATAAGGAACAAGATGGGCTATTTTCTAAACATAGTCACATCAGATGGATAGATTGTGCAAGTCAATTGTTAGCAGCATTAATAACCAGTGTTATTAGGTGAGTGACACTCTTGTGTGAATCTAATTCTGTCTTATTGACCTTTTAAAGCCAAATGCTGCACAGAGCCTGTTTTATTATGTTATTTTTTCTGGGTAAAAACTATTGTTTGAAAGTTTCCCAATACCATGGAGTGGAGCAAAGACCACTTATCACAGTTCACACACTCTTTAGAGT